AGTAGCCCTTGAGGCTACGAGGCCATATCCCAAAAGGGACTACCAAATTTGGGAGCTTAGGTATAAGTAGTATGAGAGATGCAGGGAATGACGTCATAGGAAAGTGTACCAAAATAGGACTAGTGAAGGGTGGAAAAATACCGGGTGAGTGCTATCCATAAGGACGTACCACTCCGGTAGGTTTGGATCGCAGATAATAGATTGGTGGCCAGATAGCGGATGGGTTTCGGCCAGAGCATAGGTAACCAATAGGATCCGGGTCTGAGCTTGGTGTACTTGATATATGTAAATACGAAAATGTAGTAATACATGTAATGAAAGTATTAACAATAAATAAAGTCATGGGCAAGATCCCACCTGAACACCAAAAAAAAAATATATATAAATTTTCTATTTTTAGTTTTAATATTAATTAATTTAAATCAATAATATAAAAATTACTATTAGTAATTTTATAATTTGTAAAAAGAATTTTTAAAATAATTAATTATTATAAAAAAAGTTATTAAATATTAAACTGCTAAAAAAATTGAATATTTTCCCGTACTGTAAAAAAATTTACGTATAACTATTGTGCAACAAATCGTGTAACTATACGCAGTATATATATATATATATTATATTTAATTTTATTCTCAATAAATATCTTTATTAAACAATAAAAAAGCATAAGGTATACTCAAATGGGTGAATCTTAAAGATACCTAAAACAAAGCTTCGTTTGTAAAAGTTTTCTAAACAAGTGATTAAATTTTAAAATTTACTATAATAGGTCGCATACTTTAAACTACGTACGTATATATATTATATACATATATAATGTATATAATCACGCACGCTTATATTGTCCGAATATTATATTGTCTTGATAAGTTTAAAGTAGTCTGGAAAAGTTCGGTGCGACGTGATGTTGAAGGATTTTCTTGTATATTGTTATAACTTGTTTGATTTGCAGGGCTTGTGTAAGGTTCCATGAATAACCGTTTTTGAAATGTCGTATTCCGGCTACGTGCGTAAGTTATTGTCAATCAACAGAACCGCTTACAGTTGGGGCTTTATAAATCATTCGTCCAGTTTTTTCTCGTCTTCGTCTCGCGAGAGAACATATTTTTTACAATTGTATTTAGCGCTTTTTTTTTTTTTTTTTTAGAGGAAAAAAAAGAAAAAAAAAAAAAAAAATACGTAACGTTTGTTAAAAACTCAAAAATCCTACTGTTAGGTTGATTATATACTTTGTTGATGCAAAACTCCTCTAATCGTTAAAAACTTCATCCTATCGATGTGATCGAGTGTGAAATTCTTATAAATAAATAATTATGACATCACCAACGCCGACAGTTCAAAAGAAGTCTAAAAAGTCAAAAACCACTGATCCTACTGTAAAACTTCCGAAAGCGAAATTTAATGTGCCGGACGAAGAGACAGGAGAGAAGCAAGGGGAAATTGCAGCAAAGCCAGCCAATGAAGAGGTAAGGCATGTGTTTTAGAAATGAACCCTTTCTATTTTTATTTTTATTTTTTTAATATACATCTTCCAAGATGCTATTTGTGTCGTATTGGCTACAGAAAGATTAGAGTTTCTTCGATAAGAATTTTATAAATATCAAACTCTTTTGGATTTCTTCTATAGGCATCACAAAAGGATCCAGTCATCGATACAAAGCCGGACATCTTTCAGACAACTCCGCAGGATGGAATAATCATTGTAAATTACCCCAACATAAATGCAAAAAAGGAAAAGGACTTACATATTCATGATACACTAGATGCTTTAAATGGTACGAGACGGGAGGTGAGTTCACATAGCCACTCCCACGTCCCAGAGATGAGTGCTTTAATTATCGATGTCATGTAATTTGTCAAAAAATTAACACATAAGTGTATTGAGAGGCATATTTTATGACATCTACGATGAAAACGCGCATGTTTCTTATTAAAATATAACTAGGAGAAATTATCAAATTCAAACAAATTTACAACTTCTTTATCGTTTCAAAGGGAAATGCACCCCCGGAAATGACGCCAGCAGCAATTGAAGCACTAGAAAGAATGTTTGGAAAAGTTCCTGACCAGAACAAGCCTAGAGGTTCAAATTTTGGAAAACTGGCTCAAGATTTTACATTCCCGCCAAGGGCTAAGTCTTCCCCAAATAATTCTTCGAACACTAGTAACAGTGCTACGGCTTCAACATCAAAAAACAGCGGGGACAATAAAGAGATAGACCAAGATGACCTCGATAAAAAAGAACGTGCTCGCCGTCGAAAGAGTAATTTAAATCCCCTTGCACCACCATTCAATTTCTCTGCTAGCACGTCAGTAGATGCTAATAAGTCAACTGACGCGTCGGAACAAAAACATGACGATGATAGGAAAAAGAAGAATGCAAAAAAAGAAAAGGTATTTGTTATTATTATTTAATCAATTCATGAATTCCAAAACGGTTTATAATAACAAAATCTCTTGCAATTATACTCTAATTTTTGCATAGTTGAACCATGAGATGAATGGCGACACAGATTTACCTTATCCAAAGAAAAAACGTCGTCCGAGCCAACAACTTATTACGTCAGAGGCTGCTCGGCAAATTGAAGTTCCATATGGATACGCTCCAAACGGATATGAACCTAACGCATATTACATGCATGGGCCACCTACGCCTTATCTACCCAATCATGTTGAGGGAACGACTATGCCTAACTGGGAAGAGTTTCAAACCAAGATGGCTGCAGAGGTTACCAGTAGAATAGGATCAGAATTTCAAAAAGGTGTCGATACACTTACATCCGAGATTAAAAATATGTTGGTAGAGCATATATCCGAAGATTATGGGGTAAGCGGAAAGAAGAATGATGAGGGAACTACACTACGAAAATTGCAAGACCAGATTCTTCAAGAATTACGAAATAATCATAAGGAAATACGTACCTCGTACGATCAACTGATGCACAAGCATGAGGAAATGCAAAACCGTCATCTTGATCAAGTTTCTTCTTTTCAGACAGCCCAAGACGGTGATATTCAAAATTCCATGTCTCAGCGTCATGCAGAACTTCAAACCATGCATAATAGCTTGAAGACTGAACTTAAAACTGGTCTTAAAGAAATACATAACGAATACCTAAAGATGCTGGATCGGCAACAGCAACTAAATAATGACATCAAGAATTCACAAGTTCTTCAGAGTCGCCTTACTGAATTAGAATCCGAACTTAATCGGTTGCACATTAAAAATACACACTTAACATCCGAGAATTCAAGACTTCTTGAAGAAACGAATATTGCTAAGATGAAAGAACGTCAATACGATGAAGGAAAACGTCAACAAGAAACCTTGATTTCCGAATTACAAACAGAGATATCTAATCATAAAGACAAAGCTTCTCGTGCTGGTAAGGAGCTTGAACTTATACGAAGTACGGTGAGGTCGCTTGAGGCACAAAAGGCTGCACACGAAAGCCATAATGGAAGTTTGGAAAACAAAATACGTAATCTTGAAGTACAAATACGTAATCTACAAAATGATAATAGTAGTATTTTTGAGGAAAATCAGGCATTACAACAACAGCAAGACATATGGCGTAAAACGGAAAAATCTATGCAATCTGATATTAGCGAACTTAATATTAAGCTTCTTAAAGTAGATTCAGAATTCAACGAATTGAAACGTAAAATTATTGAGGATCAGAATTCTTTTAAAACTAAAGAAGAAAACTTACGAGAACAATTGAAAGAAGCTAATCAGCAAGTGCTCGATCTTCGTTCAGATCAACGTCGATTAAAAGAACTCGAAAACGAAATAAAAACTCTTAAAAGTAGTGAGTCAGGGCAGTTAAAGTCCAAAAATAAGGAAATTGATGGTTTGAACGAGCAACTAGCTCTTCGCAACCAGAGAGTTACTGAACTTGAGAAGGTCCGGACCGAACTACAACAATCCAAGCAGATCTCTGAGAACCAATTGTTTGAACTTCGAGAAAAACATAAAGCTCTTGAGGATGATATGCGTAAAGAACTTGAAAATCAAGTCCTAAAAATAAAGGAGTATGAAAAACAGATAGTTGAATTAGAATCACTTCGACGTAGGTCTCTCGAATACGAAGATCAATTGGCAGAACTAAAGAATCTTCGTGAAGAACTCGAGAATCTCAAGCAAAGAGTAAAGGGCATGGATGATATTGAAGCTCAGAATCTTGAAAAGATTGAAGAATTGTCTAAACTTCGCATAAGAGTTCAACAATTGGAAAACGCAGAAAATGATCTTGAATATGTTCGTAAACAATTGGAAAACGCAGAAAAAGATCTTGAATATGTTCGTAGAGAAAATAAAGACTTATTTAATCGTCTAGAAATATTAGAAGCAGAAAAGAAAAAGCAGTTAGAAAATAATCATTCACAAAAGAACGCGAATGCTACGTCAAACACACATTCATATGGAGGACGCGAACCTAGAATGAATGGTGTTATTACAGAAGATCGAATCATCTCAAGGGATCATAAACCCTTATATAGCAATAACAATCAACCTAACGGGAATTTAGAGCAAATTCATTATTCCAATATGAAGCCGCCTACCGAATACAATTCTCAACAGACATTCAGTCAGTCACCTGCTATTGGTAGTATTAATTTAACGCAACAGACAACACAATCCATGCCACACATGATGAATGGAGCTGCACAACAATCATCTCATCAAACATATATTCCTCAAACACCAAATTCAGCAGTACCACCACCACCACAACACATACAACCCACATATTTATCACATAATGGACCACCACCTTCACAACAACTCCAACCATATGTTCCTTCGCACTCATCTGTACCTATTCATTCAAATACTCCCGTTTCATCACAAAAAGTGCAACAAAAACAGGATAAATTGCAACAACAGCAACCTCCACTTCCGCAATTGGTGCAATCGCAACAAACACAGTCTAACCAAGGGCAATCTACCGTGAAACAAGAAAAAAAGTCTCATAGTCGTCAAAGTTCTCGCTCAAACAATATTGGAGGTAGTGGAAAGAAGCAACGCTCTCAGAATGCAAAGAAAAAAGATCGAAATAGGAGAAATTCTACGGCTGACAATACGGACAATCCCTGGAACAAAGGCGAATTAAATAATGAGGAGTGGTGGAATAGAGCTTAGAACTGGGTTATAGTAAACCGGGTCACCCGTGTCAAAACGGTTCAGTCGGGGACACGGAAAAATCCCGTTTTGATTCATTTTGATTTGGTCAAAAAATCCGGTTTATACCGATATAAAAAATTTCTTATTTATTATAATTACTATTATAATGCATAATAGTAAGTGCCCGAAGTGATTCCTCACTTCGATTTTGTCTGTCATCTAAAATTTTATTATAAATACTAAAATTACGTTCTACACTACACGATGAAATTGGTAACAAAATATACTTCATAGCTATTGCATTTAAAAGTGGTAATTTATATGAAATTTTGATTCAAAAATTCATCTAAACTATTAATAAATTCAATGTCCGCCAAATCTTACAATAAATTGCCTATTCTTATAAAAGCTCTGTAGATGGGTTACAATACATTTATATGAAGTAAAGTTAAATTTATAAAACGTGGATTAAATATCCAAGTTTTTTTTAAACAATAATTGTTCCAACTTATATTGAGATTGGTTTATGGATATATTTTTATAGTTAGGTTAAGTATTATTACAAGAGTATATATATACGTATTAGATTTAAATAGAATTTCAGATTTTAGTATAAGCTAATCTTAGCATAAGCCGTTACAATTATGCTGGATGGTTAAGAATATTACAGTAGAATAAAATTTTAAAACTACGTATTGCATGAATTTAACCAATCAAAATTAATATAAATTATATGATTATATTTACTCTTTTTTTTTTTTTTTTTTTTTTTTTTAAGGTAGTTACTTTGCTTTAAATTTTTTATTTTATTTATTTATTTTTTTTTAATGTTTTATTGAACTTTGGATTGAATGTTAGGGCAACCTCATGGGCTACCCTTGATTTTGTTACATTAACAAAAGTATATTTTAGCTATCTATTACTAGGTTCTACACTATAGTTTAATGTACAAGTTATACAAGTCCAAGTGAAGCTATTGAATAAATCTAGCAGATTGACAGAATACAGGAGTTTGCTTGGCAAGACCTGAGTGGAGAGGTAGCACAGATCTTTGATAGTTACTATGTAAAGGATAATTAATCAGAAAATCAAACAGGACCAAAGTATTTGGCAAAGCACTATACTAACCAGGCTAACAGACAACTGGAGGAAAGGTTTCACCCTTTTAAGCTATTGGATTGGGAGTTTGAATTTTTAGAGGTATGGGTGAAAGTTTGTAAAGTAGGTACCAGAGTTTGTGTGAATTCTAGAAGGGCAGTAGTAAGTAGGGATGTGAAAAGTCCGATCTGGTCTGACTTGATTTCATTGAGCCAAGTTTTAATTTAGACTTGGTTCTGAGTTAGGCTTGAGACCAAGTCTCAATTATTATATGAAATTTGTAATTATCATATGATAAGATAAATAAGATACAAAAATGTAGAAAACCTTAATACAATTTATTTGATATACTAAAAATGAAATTTTATTAAAAAATTTGTTTTATGTTTAATTCTAAAATACAAGCTTCGCTTTTATCCAATTTTTTAAGTACAAGGAAGCTCTAGTTGTTTGTTCAAGAAAACAGTTTTGTATAAGGTTAATCATGTGTTTTATGACTAAAAAGGTACGTTCACACAGAACATTTGTAACTTGAAGTGCATAGTGATCCACTGCGACAAAAGTTATAGTTGAAAAGTGAAAAGAATTATTTTTTCATCATGTCAATGGATTTATATCCAGTTTTGAGAATAACACGAGATAAGTGATTATTTCATTTATTAAATCTTTTGTTAAATTTTTCATTTCATTTTTACTTTTATTGGATTGGATTAATTTATGAAAGTTATCTAATAAACTTTCTTGTTTAGGCGATATGATCACTTTATTAACATAAAGCATTGATCATAAAATTTTTAACTGACTTATAGCAAACTATCGATCTTCTTCATTAAAGGTTTTAAATTTAGTTGATGAATCAAGAAGAGCAGGGATCATGGAAGTTTCTAAAAGACAAGGTCAATAATTTTTTAATTTAAATTTCATTCTTTCTGCTATTTATGATATGTATCATTATTTAGAATATAATGATCTAAGTAAGCAAAAGGCCTTGGATGATTACTTGTAGAGATCTGTAGGAAGGCGATAAAGCATTTGAAAGAATTAATGTTGCCTTATAAAAAGGTTGAAGAAATTCTAATATATTTTTAATTATTTCTTAATCTTTTTGTTCTAAATATTCATTTTTTAAATTAGAATGTGATTGTACAAGACTGTCAATTACATCCTTAATTATAACAAATCATTTAAGTATAAAATAAGTGGAATATCACCTTATATCTATATCGAGTTCAGGATAGAGAAAAGGGTAATTTAGAATAGTGAAGATTTTTTTAATATTCTCAAGAAGCAATGGTGAGTTACTAATTTTTGTTACAAAACAGCTGTGTTTTTTTTATCTAGCTTAAATAATATTTTTGGCCTTCTTTTATAATAAGATTTAAAACATGTGTTGTGCAATGTACATATATAAGTTCAGAATTCATATTTTGCTAAAGATAATGCAAGCAAGTATGGTTATTAGATGCATTATCACTTGTAAATCCAATTACCTTTTCTTTGATCTCAAAGTCCTTTGCAAGATTAAGGATTTTTTCTTCAAGATAATCGCCAATGTGAGCATTGTGTAAAGGAATTAAGTTAAGAAGAATAGTACGCATTGTCTATTTGACATCGACCCAATAGATAGTGATATCAAAGAAGAGTTGCTGAGTACATATAGTCTATACATCTAATGTAAGTACTAATTTATTTTTATTATTTTTTAAAAGATTTTTTATTTTTATTTTGTCTAATTCAAATTGTTTTTTGATATTTTCAGAAATAGTTCGACGGCAGAAGATTTTATAGCATAGGTCAAGAGCAGAAATAAACTTAATAAAGCAATTCTCTTCTAAGAGAGAAAAAGGCTGTTGGCTAATTATAATAAATTCTAATAGATAACAGTTTAATAATTTTACTCGCTGATTATTGATAATTGAATATTGAAAAAGATAAACAAATTTTGCAGCTAATTTTTAAAATTCTTTAAAAATATTATAGTGTTTTCCTTCAAAATAGCATGTTATTGTCAATAATGATGTTTGCAGTCTTTATTTACCTACTAGGCCTTTATCTTTATTACAGACTTTGCAAATACAAGTGCCATCATTGAGTATATCAAGATATTTGTAAATAGATGAAGGATTTTTTTTTTACTATTCGATTTGTTAATTTAATTCAGATTATTAATACTCTTAGAAAAGTTTTTAAAAAAAGATTCGATTGTTTTAGTATACATAGTATTAGTAGATTAGATCAATTTTAAAAGCAGACAACGATAGAATTTTTTTACTAATGAGTTAGGTCAATATTAAAAGTAGACAAAAATGAGCACTTTTTATATTTGAAATTTTTTTATTTTTATTTTTAAATTGTATATTAAATCTGATGTAAATAAATGATCATTTATATATACTATAAATTGTCAAGTTTATTATAACTTTTTAATGTGTTAAATTTCTAATAGCATACTTTTTTGTCACAAAATATTCAAATCTTAAAAACTATTATATTATTGAGTATTTTTTTTTGTTGGGCATAATGCAATGAATAATTATCATTGAAGAGTATATAGAAATATCAGTATTCATTTATTATAAATTACAACAGTTAAATCTAAGTACCCGTTTTGTAAATGCTCTAACTACACACGACACTGCAGCCTCAGTTCTATTAACAATTATAATTGCACTATTTACATCTGTCTTAATATAATGTTGTAGATATTTTTAACTTTCTAAAATTGCTAATAAGATCAGATAAAAGATTTCTAATAATAAAGATAATAAAATAACTATTTAAAAGTAACAGTAGAGACAGTATCCGATCCAGAGTGAATTTCTCTCTCCTGTGATTAATTACAAATTAAATTATTATTTATATTGGATTCAATTTTGATAGATATAATTCCTTACCAGTTTTTAATTTATGTGTAATATTAATAGTTTTTGCTGTTTTTTAAAAGTTTTATGCATTCAATATCTTAATCCTAACAATTGAAGTTATTATTATTATGAATCTTAGCAGTTTCTGAATATTGCATGTATATATCTTGCATACTAATAATTATATTATTGTGGCCAGTTTGAGAATAACTGCAATAAATATTTAGTAGCAAAAAAATTCAATGATATTTTGATATAAATAAACTTAATTATTAACTAATGATTACACTATCGATATCTTATATGCATTTAATATCTTAACAATAAATTACTATTTTTATAAA